GAGTCCAGTCCCCTGCCCCCCCCCTCCTTGCCGCCGATGGCTGCTCCAGTGGCTGCGGCGTGCGGCAATAATAGATTTTATGATCCATAAAAGCCATCTTTAATGCTGACGAGCGCGTACGGGCGGCGTAATGGCATTAAAACGCTGCTGGCGGCGGCGCCCCCCCCCGCCATTTTTCCTGCCTGCCCAGTTTTTCCCACCGTGTTGCTGTTTTACCCAAAAAACCAACCGACCGCGCTGAGGGGAAAATCTGCTGCGATGCCCCTGGTGCAGCACGGCTGCTCCGGGAGCAGGGGCTGAGCCCTGGTGTGCTCGAGACACGTGTGCTGGGGACACGGTGGCACGCTACGAGCTTTGGTGCCATCCCTGGTCCTGCGTAGCAGAGCCGTGGGGATGGAGATGGGGACAAGGATGCTGGTGTGGCCACGCAAGGGCGTGTGGCATGGTGGGGCATGGGGGTCCCTGTCCCCATCCCTGTCCCTGTCCCCATCACTGTCCCTATCACCATCGCTGTCCCTGTCCCCATCCCTGTCCCTGACCCCATCACTATCCCTGTCCCTGTCACTGTCCCTGTCCCTATTGCTGTCCCTGTCCCCATCCCTGTCCCCGTCACTGTCCCTATCACTGTTGCTGTCCCTGTCCCCATCCCTGTCCCTGTCCCCGTCACTGTCCCTATCACCATTGCTGTCCCTGTCCCCATCCCTGTCCCCGTCACTGTCCCTATCACTGTTGCTGTCCCTGTCCCCATCCCTGTCCCTGTCCCCCATTCCCATCCCCGCTGCTCCCCTGGAATTCGGAGGCTGATCCCCGCTCTCACCCCTCCCACCCATCCATCGTTAACTTTCTCTCTAATCCCCCTGATCTCCGGGATTTACCCCACCGGAGCCCCAGCCCCTCACCATCGCCGGCGGCCGCCCGTGCTCCCTAAACCCTCCGAACTCCAGGGGAGCCCCAGTGACATCTCATGGCACAGCCGGGGGAGCCCCCACAAACAGGGAGGGGTGGAAAAAAATATCAAATTTCCCAAACTGGCTTTGCAGTCCCGGGTTCGCACCCAGGACGGAGCCAGGCACATCCTGCTGAGCCGGGGACACAAAGGCCACCTGGCCATGCCACCGCCACCGCCACGGCCGTGCCCAGGGCGTGCT